CGATTTCAATAACTCACTATTTCAGGACCTCAGGACCCTTCCACCACGAAGTCCTTTTTCTGCTTACAATGTTCCTATTCATTTCCCCCTTCACCATCCATAGAGATCCTAGTGATTGTTCAACACCTAACTCAATTGTGTCTCTTCTGCAAAGAAGAAGCAGGTCAGGAGGTTCTTGTCACCTAAGCTCCTACAGGGCTGTGTTTGTGTCCTCCTTGGGCACTTGCCTGCTTCTACTTTATTACACTTTTACTGCTAAACTGAGAGAGGAGACCAAACACAAAGTCTGGGCTCCAAAGTAGTCATTGGATGTGAGCCCCTTGTTTTAGCTACTTCTCATGCCTTATTTTAATTCTGGTCTTTTGGGCATATTGTTTTCTAAACTGTGATAAGAAATAAACATACAAGAATATTGAAATCCTTTCTATATTTGACATTTTTAAGGAACAGCCCACACTGTTGCTAGATTTGAATGCTGGCATCTCCATGTAAGAGCTGTGGAATCTTGTGCAAGTTACTTAACCTCTCTGTGCCTATAAAAGAGGGATAATAATAGTCCCTACTGCCCAGGATTCTTATGAGGAATGAGTCCTCACAGAACAGAGCATGGGCATATGAAATATCAGTATCTTGGCTTTTGTTATTGTTCAGGCTGCATTTCCTATTTCTTGAGCATTTATTCACATTTTTGAATTGCATTGTAACTAAAAGAAAATCCAGAGCTATCAGCACATGTCATGTAGTGAGGCCGATTGTCTACCTACCCATCAGGCACACCAGTGCTATCCACTGGAGAACGATTGCTTTGTTCCAGTGGACACTTGGCAGGACAGAATGATGAAAGGAGGTTGGCCACTGCAGCACAGTGAAAAGTTGCCTGAAACATGAAGAGCTGACCAGGCCACCCCACCGGTGTCTGCACATCTGTGTCCCCATCTGTAGAACAGGAACAAGAATAGTATTTATTTCATGGGGTAGAAGCAAAGATCAAATGAGATAATACACGTGGAGCATTGAGCATGGTGTCCAGTGGATGCAAGTACTCAGTATAGCTCTGATGTGTTCCTGGCATCCATCTGGGAACATGGGTGATTGTTGTTAGGAGAAGTGCACGGGGTGTCCTGCAGAAGGTGCCCTCCTACTCCCTTCAACTGTGGGGAAATTCATGGTTGGTGCCACTAAGGGAAACTCAACAACAACCTGAGAAAGTATGGTCCCTCTTTTATTAGAAGGACTGGTGAGAAGAGCATATTTTCCCTCTCTGAGCACTGGGAAGGATGGCTAACACTAGCAGCTAGAAGAGTGGTCAGGCTCAGGCAATATGACAGTGACCACTAGCAACAGAAATAGTATAAAATTAATGCCATTAAGATCCAGGCTGGATCCACACAAGAAATCTTTATTATTCACCAAGGAGAGCACGTGACCTCCTGGAGACTTTGCCAGGAGAGAAGAGGTGAGAGCACACATGGTCCTTCCAGGGGGGGACTCAGAGCCACGGGTTTGTTTGCACATGGTCATTGCATCCTGTGTTCCTAGAGTGAGTCACTCTGACTCTGTAGGCCTGGAGAACCAGGGGTCACACACAGTACAGGATCATAGTCCTGGGGGAAGAAGTTTGCTCACTTGCAAGTGTACCTGCACCTAATGTGTGCATCTGTCTTGTTCCAGGAATCTTCAAAGAAGGGAATTCCACCAGCTTTTCTTGCCATCTGTTATGTTCGTCTCCATTCACACCATTCCTTCTTCATCATGGCTCATGGAAAGCTAAGGTGGTCTGCATTCTCCTTCAGCAAGCTCTCTCAGAAAGCCCAAATGGCACAGTTGTCCTCAGTTAATTTTCACTTTGATCTTAACCTCACTCAGACTCTGGATATTAAAGTAGAAATAATGCTTTGTGACCTTTAACCAGGGCACTGCTGCTTCCCCACCCTCTCCCCTGTGAGGGTGAACCACACAGTCTTGTTCTGCAACATCCTTATTTCTGGACTTCTCTTTCCCAGCAGGGAGATGACTAATGCTAAAAGCCATGTATGACACCAAGGTTTACCAGGCACACCAAGTGCTCATTTGAGATGTACTTTCAAATAGTAATATCTGTGCTTGGAACCCAAGGTTAAATTTAGTTACCGAAAGAAGTCCCAACTTTGCCCCACCCCTCTTCAGCGCTGTGCCCTTCCCTTCCTGGGGATGCAGTGAGGACGAGTTCCGAAGTGAGCACGATGGTGCTTCTCAGAGGTGTCAGGCAGAGTGTCACCGAGTGTGGTGACTGGAGGACCTTCTGAGGACAGCCTACTGTGGAGTGGGCTTGCAATGCACTCCTCACTGGCAGAGACTGTCGCCACATTTGCTCTGGAGAAAGTGAATTTCAATGGCAGCCTAGGGAGGGGCTGCAGTGGAGGTGGGGATGTCATAAAGAGAACTTTCTTTAATGTTCTCCAGATATTTTGAAATAGGCTTTACTCTGTGCTGCCATTCCACCTGACGTCTGGGTGGCAGCTCAGGCTTTGAGGTTGTCACGACTCCCTGGTTGTGGCTTGGAGGAAGCCAAGGAACTGAAGGAACTCAAGGCTTGGTTTCACTTGTGTGGGAACAGTGACCACTAGTCTCCAAACTCTCAGCCTCCAAACTCTCTGTCACAGCTAAGCCCAGTCACTATCCTGACCTGTAAAGAGGAAGAAACTTGGTCAGAACACAACATTAAAGACTGAAGGGGGCCAGAGTAATGGAGAGGTGCAGAAAGAGAGGGGCTGGGTGTTTGGACAAATTCAGGGTGGAGTGGTACACTGTGGGATGGGCTGGACATAGACAGGAAGGACACTTCCATACAATGTGCTGTGGGCTATGTCCAGAGAACTCCTAGGGTTTTGGGGAACAGGAGTAAAAGATTAGAGTTATTTTGAAATTCCTTTTGTTGGCAGGACTGTTTGTCGAGCTAATCCAGGAAGGTCCCGGCTCTATAAAGCCACACATTTGAGTGGGTGACAGGCCACTCATCTCCACAGGACAGCCTGGGAAGGGTTTCCACCTGGGCACTGAAGGACAAGAGCCCTGCAAGAAAGGTCAAAGGCTAAGGGGCCATTGGGGTTTGGGTTTATTGAACAGGCAAGGGTGAACAGTGGCAGTGGTGGGGGTGGGAGTGGTGTTAGTTTACGTGTAGATGTGTTTGCTATTAACTTCATATTCTTCTGCCAGGAAAGCTGGAGTCCTGGGCCTGACTGCTGGGCTGGGTATCTTCCCTGTATCCTTGGGTTGTCTCTCTTATTGGCACTGGAAATGAGGAGAATGCTAAGGTTTAATGTCCTTTTTATGGCCAGTTTTGGTTGCTGGAACCTTCCTCTTAGAAAAGATACTGGTTCGTGACTGAATGATCTCTACCCACAGAGAAAAAACATCTTCCTCAGAGGGTTGGTTTCTCTTTAAAGCAATGTGTGGCCTCCAAAGGCCCTTCATAAGATGGCTGAGAAAAATCAGAGCAAAGACACTAATGTTTTTCTCTATGTCTCTTTCTCTTCACAGATGAGTTGAAATTCTTGCTTTGGGCCATATGGTGTGGATATTCCAGAAGGAAATTATATAGTGCTCTCTGTTTCTACTCAACTGCTTTTCACTTTGTCAAGTGGACCCTTTGAAGCAGCCTTCTTACCTCAGATTCTGACATGAATAATTGTTTAATTGCCTCTCAGTCTATATAAGATAAAGAACCAGGCCTCAAATTTGTATAATTCTCTTAACCAAACAATAGTGGAACGACCCAGGGCAGGTTTCAAAGAAAGGAAACAATTTCTTACATATGTTAAACATTTTATTTTTTTAAAGTCCTTTGCTCTGTAGTATTTTGTTAAATTGGATAATGCATATGAAGCACTGTGTAAATCATGTAACAATAAAGTAAGATTTTATAACAATTACTGATTTGATTTTCTATATAAAAAGCTGAAGCTCAGAGAAGGGGAGTTACAGCCCCAAATCACAGCAGTTAAGATAACACAGGTGGCCTGATTCCTTACTCTGCCCACTCTCTCCTCTGTACCAGGCACTCCCCCCACAGAGGCTGGCTTCCGAGCAGACTGGGCTGACATGGGCCCACAGGTGTGTTTCCAGATCTGAGCTCCCAGGCACTGACCTCGCCGTCTCCCCTTACAGGCTCAGGTGGAGATTTGCCTTTTTCCTGGTTTAGCTGCTGCCAATCACTCTTCAACAGAGCCCTTGCCCTCAAGCTGGGATAGAGAAGTTGCTACATTCCCTAAATTTAAAAAAATATATAGGTTTTTTTCTCTTTTTTTCTAATCCTCACAAGAGTATATGTTTTTTATTGATTTTTTGGGGAGGGAGTGAGTGGGAAAGGAAAGGAGAGAGAGAGAGAGAGAGAGAGAGAGAGAGAGAGAGAGAGAGAAACATGGATGTGAAAGAGAAACATCAACCGAATGCCTCCAGTTCACATCCTGACTGGGGATCAAACCTGCAACCTAGGTATGTGCCCTGACTGGGAATAGAACGCACAACCTTTTTGGTGTACTAGATGATGCTCCAACGAACTGAGCCACCCAGGCAGTGCTGCTTTTTCTTTAAAAAATAAAACAACAAAAACTATCTCTGAAATAAGGTCACCAACCCATTTCTAGATTTTAAAAAAGCTATTAGCAAATCCTCATTTTTAGGTAGGATGTTGTCTTCAGCTTCATATGTGAAGGAGATGGCTTTAGAGCACTTCTGAGTGGGGCTGAAGCACCCACCATTCTCCCACCCTCTGCCAAGATGGAGCCTACCCTGGGAGGAAGCAGGATACAGGGCCAACGAATCAACACCAGGAACCCTGTGAAGGTTTTACTGGACAGGGACTGGGCCTAGTGCAGGTCTGTTGGGGTCCAACCCCAGCAGGTCCAGGGGTCCAGGGGTGTGTGGACGGAGTCGCCGAAGAAGAAATGACACAGAAACAGCGTTCAGTTGATCAGCAGCCTAGCCAGGTTCTGTTTTTTTTGTTTTGTTTTGTTTTTTCTAAATACTTTAATTTGGTTTCAAACATATGTAAGCAGTACACATGTGAGTGAGGAGGCTGCTCAAGTCCGTAGGGGAAAGGTTACAAAAGATACAAATATCCATCTCAAAAGCATGAGGGTCCTTATATCCTTTCTTAAAGAGCATAAAGAGCAAGCACATTCTACACAAATGAGAGCTGTGACAAAGAATTTCAAAGTTCAAGAGCCTGTCACAGTATGAGGTATAATAACGGACAAGAAGTCTTACAAGCTTCTCTTGTCCAATACTCACTGAAGTCTCATTAGTTTTTCAGGGGGACCTTTAGGGCTCACTGTCTGTTGGATGTTCTTTGTGGCCTCCTTCTCATCAGACTTCACAGTTTCTGGTGTAGGTTCTGCCTCTTTCTTTGTCTGATCCACTGGGACAGGCTTTTCTCCAGACTTTTGCTGCACAAATTTGGGTGGAAATTTTTGTCTGAGGTCTAGGAGTAAAGCATCCACACGTTGCCTCTGGAAAATGGAGCTTGGTTCTTCTTTCCTTTTGGTTTTAGGTTTAACTTTTTCTTGCTCTTCATGATCTTTGAAGTGCCACCAATACCCTTTGGAAGGATGATATCGACAGTATGACATGGCTTCATCAAAAGCTGACTGAATGCCATGCACCGCAGTCAGCACTCTAGAGTTTATAACTGATCCCAAGTATGGTGCCTGGTAGATCACTCCAGCAATGATATAGTAATCAGCCAGTGGGATAACTTGGGTAGGGGACTGCCGCTGTTGCTTCTGGATGATAAAAAGAATGGGCTCTTGAGCATGTGAAAGGATGTATTCCACTCCAACCATCTGATTTAAGTGTTCTAATGTTAGTCTCTGCATTTTGACCACTTCATTATTACACGTTCTGTCGTAAAAAGGATTACTTCTTTCTGAAAAGTAATCTAGGACACTTCCACTGTTCAAAATGGGGATCCATGTACTGTCAACCCAAGAGATTCCCAGTAGATTATCTATAAGAAAGAAACAAAATAATAAAAGATGAGAAAAGAGAAAAAAATCTAATCCTACAAATATTATGTATCTCATGTTGTAGGCACTATAAATAAAAGGAAGACATGGATCCTAACTTACATACTCTCACAGTCTAACAGAGAGACAAGTACACAAGAAAGCAATAACAACTCAAGTGCTATAATAGAAGTACGAATAAATGTGTTATGAGAGCACAGTGGAGGGAGCAGAATACCCTACCTGAGGAAACTGGAATGATTTTTTATGGGGTGAGGGTTTTAGCACTATCCTATCCTATATAATAAAAGGCTAATTTGCAAATAAACCGAATGGTGGAACAACTGAACAACCAGTCGCTATGACCACCAGGTGGTGCGTGCTGACCACCAGGGGGCGTCCGTGGAACACCGAATGCCTCCAGTTCACATCCTGACTGGGGATCAAACCTGCAACCTAGGTATGTGCCCTGACTGGGAATAGAACGCACAACCTTTTTGGTGTACTAGATGATGCTCCAACGAACTGAGCCACCCAGGCAGTGCTGCTTTTTCTTTAAAAAATAAAACAACAAAAACTATCTCTGAAATAAGGTCACCAACCCATTTCTAGATTTTAAAAAAGCTATTAGCAAATCCTCATTTTTAGGTAGGATGTTGTCTTCAGCTTCATATGTGAAGGAGATGGCTTTAGAGCACTTCTGAGTGGGGCTGAAGCACCCACCATTCTCCCACCCTCTGCCAAGATGGAGCCTACCCTGGGAGGAAGCAGGATACAGGGCCAACGAATCAACACCAGGAACCCTGTGAAGGTTTTACTGGACAGGGACTGGGCCTAGTGCAGGTCTGTTGGGGTCCAACCCCAGCAGGTCCAGGGGTTTCCAAAGGTGTGGACGGAGTCGCCGAAGAAGAAATGACACAGAAACAGCGTTCAGTTGATCAGCAGCCTAGCCAGGTTCTGTTTTTTTTGTTTTGTTTTGTTTTTTCTAAATACTTTAATTTGGTTTCAAACATATGTAAGCAGTACACATGTGAGTGAGGAGGCTGCTCAAGTCCGTAGGGGAAAGGTTACAAAAGATACAAATATCCATCTCAAAAGCATGAGGGTCCTTATATCCTTTCTTAAAGAGCATAAAGAGCAAGCACATTCTACACAAATGAGAGCTGTGACAAAGAATTTCAAAGTTCAAGAGCCTGTCACAGTATGAGGTATAATAACGGACAAGAAGTCTTACAAGCTTCTCTTGTCCAATACTCACTGAAGTCTCATTAGTTTTTCAGGGGGACCTTTAGGGCTCACTGTCTGTTGGATGTTCTTTGTGGCCTCCTTCTCATCAGACTTCACAGTTTCTGGTGTAGGTTCTGCCTCTTTCTTTGTCTGATCCACTGGGACAGGCTTTTCTCCAGACTTTTGCTGCACAAATTTGGGTGGAAATTTTTGTCTGAGGTCTAGGAGTAAAGCATCCACACGTTGCCTCTGGAAAATAGAGCTTGGTTCTTCTTTCCTTTTGGTTTTAGGTTTAACTTTTTCTTGCTCTTCATGATCTTTGAAGTGCCACCAATACCCTTTGGAAGGATGATATCGACAGTATGACATAGCTTCATCAAAAGCTGACTGAATGCCATGCACCGCAGTCAGCACTCTAGAGTTTATAACTGATCCCAAGTCTGGTGCCTGGTAGATCACTCCAGCAATGATATAGTAATCAGCCAGTGGGATAACTTGGGTAGGGGACTGCCGCTGTTGCTTCTGGATGATAAAAAGAATGGGCTCTTGAGCATGTGAAAGGATGTATTCCACTCCAACCATCTGATTTAAGTGTTCTAATGTTAGTCTCTGCATTTTGACCACTTCATTATTACACGTTCTGTCGTAAAAAGGATTACTTCTTTCTGAAAAGTAATCTAGGACACTTCCACTGTTCAAAATGGGGATCCATGTACTGTCAACCCAAGAGATTTCCAGTAGATTATCTTGGATATCCACCGCCGCCATAATTCCAAAAGTGTTCTCGGGTTCTCCTTCCGGCGCAGAGAAGATGTAACAACTATGATGATGGAAGCAGAGGGGTGCAGGTCCTCGGGACCCTGAGGAGAAATGCAGAGGGGAGGACAGTGCAGGACCCACAAGAAGGCAGGGAAGGGGAGGAGGCCAGGAGTGCAGGGGAGCGCCAGGTCCTGTGTTTTATTGTCTTGTTACATTTGTATTTATACCAGTTGATTTTAATCCTATCAATTTCTATTCCAAAGGTTAGGGCGTTTCTTATCTCCATTCCAGGGAGTAAAGATTATGTAGCTTAAGCATGATTGTTCGTAGTTAAAGTGATTAACTGCCCACCTGGCACTTAGTTAAGGGGTTTTATTCCCTCCTTAACTTCAGGGAAAAATCCCTACCTGGGGAAACAACCTTTCTTGGAGAGGTGACCTTGGTTAAAACACATAGCGCCAAGAAGGGGAGCAAACATATTAAGAACAGTATGCCATATACGCCAGGTCCCTTGAAACATATGCTGTGCAGATGTTTCTTCCCTGCAGCGACTGTGTCAAGCAGCAAGGATGGACTGGCTTCCGGCACAGGTCTGCCTCAAATCGGCCACTAGGTAGCATGTGGGCTCTTGACTTTGTGCAGGAAAGATTTCATAACATGAGCCCAGGTGATTTTGAGAATATGTGTATTATAGCTGTGGACAGTGATAGGAAGGAAGGGCTTAGGATACAAGAAGCAACAGAAGAGAGCCTAGATGGAGCTGCTATTAGCTCACTGGAAAGTCAGAGAAAAGGGGGGCCTTAGAGACAGGATCAAAGGGTTTATGAGCCTCATGGGGTCCCTTAGAATTTAGGAGCGAGCAGAGATACAAGGTGTGAGTGTGCTCTGTGAGAGTGCATTGTGAGTAGAGTATACTTGTTAAAGCTGGGGACAGTGAAACAAGGACGGGCTTAAGGTAGAAGAAGCAACAGGAGAGAGCCTAAGCTGGGCTGCTTTGGCTCACTGAGAAGTCAGAGAAAAAGGGGGCCTTGGAGACAGTTTCAGGGGGTTAACCTGGAACGAGCTGCCACTGCCTGCTGCTCCCCTGGTTGCAAGTTGCAAGTCTTATGGGAACCTTTAAAGTTTAGGAGAAAGAGATTCGAGGCATGGGTGTACTCTAGCGAGAGTGCATCCATAGATCCTATGTCTTGAGGCTTTTTGTCATTCTTGGGGGGAGGATCCTAGGGGAGGTCTTGAGGAGGGTCTTAGCAATATTCATTAGCTTTCCAAGTGTGTCCTTCAATATGTTGATTCATCAAAATGTGCACATAGGGGAGTTAGGGTTATTATTTGGTTAGTTTTATTTTCAAAGAATGTCATCTAGGAGGGACTAGGCCAGCCATGGGCAAACTACGGCCCACGGGCCGGATCCGGCCCGTTTGAAATGAATAAAACTAAATAAAAAAAAAAAGACCGTACTCTTTTATGTAATGATGTTTACTTTGAATTTATATTAGTTCACACAAACACTCCATCCATGCTTTTGTTCCGGCCCTCCGGTCCAGTTTAAGAACCCATTGTGGCCCTCGAGTCAAAAAGTTTGCCCACCCCTGGACTAGGACCTAACTGAGGCCAGTCCACCCCATGGCATTATGAAATATGTAAACCATTTTCTCTTAAGTATTCTTGGTTAGGGAAGACAAAATCTTGTGGTTCATTTGCTGACTGTGAATTGCTCAAATTATTTGGCCTTGTTTAATTATTTTGTCTCAGTTTCCCTTATTCCACTTGTCAAGGCATTTCCCCTGCTTCTTACTATCCTGTCACAGGGGCAGTACAGGGGAGCCTGAGAGAAGGAGCTGGATGCCTTGAAGAGAGGGTTTCATGGGCATCAAAAGACACCATCAGAGTGAAAGGCAACCTAAGAAGTGAGATTGCAAATCACATATCTGATAAGGGGTTAATATCCAGAATACACAAAGAACTCTTATAATTAGAAAACAATTCAAAAACAAACAATCCCAGTAAAAATTGTGCAAAGAACTTGAATAGACACTTCTTCAGAGAAGATATACAAAAGGCCAACATGCACACGAAAAGGTGCTCAACATCACTAGTCATTAGTGAAATGCAAATCAAAACTACAATGAAATGCTACTTCACACCCATTTGGGTGCTGTTGTAAGAAAAACAAAAATCTCTTGACAAATGAGAGAATAGCAAGTGTTGGTGAGAATGTGGAGAAACTGGTACCCTTGTTCACTGCTGGTGTGAATATAAAATGGTGCAGCCACTGTGGAAAGCAGTATGGCAGTTTCTCAATAAATTAAACAGAATTACCACAAGATCCAGCAATTGGACTTCTGCGTATATACACAAAATAATTAAAAGCAGGGATTCAAATAAATGCAGAAGTGGGCAAAAGTGATGCAAGGAGGGCCAATCAGAATGAATCTTCAGACTTTCCTTGGAAAGGCTGGGCAGGGATGCTGCCTCTTCTCTTCTGGACTAGAATGAGGAAATAGCTGCTGGAAGCCAGAGGGAACCTTAAGGGGAGTAAGCCTTATAAGGTGACACCGAAAAGGGCAAAGGGAAGAGCTAGAAAGAAATTGGATTCTCAGTGACATTGTTGAGCTACTGAGTCAAGCTTTGCCTGAAGTGAGCATTACCTCTAGCACTGTTGGTTACTTGACCTAACAAAATCCCTAATGGTTTAAGCCATTTTTAGTAAAGCTCTCTGTTACTTGTATTCTAACTGATAGAGTTTATTGATGATACATTAGTATACAACTTAACAGTTTACAAATCACAGTATCCAGCTTCATTTTTACAACAGGAATATTCAGAAATTTATTTCGACAACATAAATGGATCTTGCAAATATTATGCTAAACAAAACAAGTCAGACAGAAAAGTTAAAAGCTTATGTTTTCACTCAGATGTGGGATATAAAACTGAAAGAAACAAATAAAAAATAATAGTAATTTTAAAAAACCCCTCATAGACACAAGCAGCAGAATGATAGTTACCAGAAAGAAGGGCAGAGGGTGTCAAATATTTGGTGATGAAAGAAAATTTGATCTTGGGTGGTGGGCACACAATGCAATACACAGAAGATGTATCATAGAATTGTACAATTGAAATCTAGATAAACTTATTAACCCATCTCACCCCAATAAATTTAATTTGAAACAAAAGAAATACAAAAAAGAAAATAGAGACCATGAAGGCATTGCCCTAGGTTAAACATGGTTAAGTAGAAAAGTTATGTGAGGACAGAAGGTATGGACATGTTTTAAAGTTCTCTTCTCAGGGTTTTTTACATTATTTGTCAACCAGATGTAATAAATATTTGTTAAATAAATAAATAAATCAAAGAATAGAGGTGGGATGGTAAAAAGAGTGATAAGTTTTATTTTATTTTTTTGTTTTAATCTTTATTGTTGAAAGTATTACATCTGTGCCTTTTTTCCTCTCATTGAGCTCATCTAGCCACTCCCACCTTCCACCCCAGGCCTTCACCCTAGTGCCTGTGTCCATTGGTTATGCATACATGCATACAAGTTCTTTGGTTGATCTCTTCCCCTCCCACCACCCTCCCCTGGCTTCCCTCTGTGGTTCAACAGACTGTTCCGTGCTTCCATGTCTCTAGATGTATTTTGTTCAACAGTTTGGTTTTGTTCATTAGATTCCACATATAAGTGAGCTTATGTGACACTTGTCTTTTTCTAACTGGCTTATTTAGCTTAGAATAATACTCTCCAGGTCTATCTATGCTCTTGAAAATGGTAAGTTTTTTTTTTTTCTTTTACAGCCGCATAGTTATTCCTGCTGTAAATGTACCACAGCTATTTTATAAACTCATCTACTGATAGGCACTTGGACCATTTCTAAATCTTAGTTATTATAAACTAGAGGCCCAGTGCACAAAAATTTGTGCACTCAGGGGGGTGGGTCCCTCAGCCCGGCCGGCGCCCATTCACAGTCCAGGAACCCTTGGGGGATGTCCACCTGTCGACTTAGGCCCACTCCCCAGGGCATCAGGCCTAAGCTTGCAGTCAGACATCCTTCTGGCAGCCAGGAAGCCCTCGGGGGATGTCTACTAAAGGCTTAGGCCCCCAAGGGATCAGATCTAAACCATTAGTTGGACATTCTTAGTGCTGCCACGGAGGTGGGAGAGGCTCCTGCCACCACCACTGCGCTGGCCAGCCATGAGCC